ACCTAACCTATCTAAACCTAACTAATCTAACCTTAACCTAAACCTAACCTAACCTAACCTAAACCTAACCCAATCTAACCTAACCTAACCTAAACTCAACCACCTAATCCTAACCCAACCTAATTCACCCAAACCTAACTCCAACCTAACCTAACCTAACCCAAAACCTAACCTAACCCAATCTAACCTAAACCTAACCTAATCTAACCTCATACCATTCCCTACTGTACTCCTTATATCTATACACCTTTTTAGATATACAGATTAAATAAGAAAGAGAGAGAGAGAGAGAGAGAGGAAGAGAGAGAGAGAGAGAGAGAGAGAGAGAGAGAGAGAGAAGAGAGAGAGCAGAAAGAAAGAGAAAGAGAGCAGAAAAGAAAGAAAAGAGAGAGAGAGAGAGAGAAGAGAGAGAGAGAGAGAGAGAGAGAGAGAGAGAGAGAGAGAGAGACAAAGACAGACAGACAGACAGAGAGACAGACAGACAAAGAATCAAAGAGAGAGAGAGAGCGAAAGAAAGAGAAAGAGAACAGAAAAGAAAGAAAAGAGAGAGAGAACAGAAAGAGAGAGAGAGAGAGAGAGAATAAAGATTATAACACATGTATTTGACTTTTTCCAAGAACTTCAATATGGAAGTCTTAACGCCGTTCCTTCAACATCTCCTCGACGCATAATGTTTCCGATCGATGCATTAGTAGATCTCTGCTGGATTTAACGTATGGTACTTGTCCTTGGTTTAAATCTTGTGTACGTACTTTGCTTTTGTGTCTAAATCCTCTGTACGTGTCTTTGTTGTGCATCAGTCTTGTGTACGTATCTGTCCTTGGTCTAAATCCTGTGTACGTATCAGTCTTGTGTACGTATTCCTGTCTGTGTACGTATCAGTCTTGTGTACGTATCTGTCCTTGGTCTAAATCCTGTGTACGTATCTGTTTTGTGTACGTATTCCTGTATTGTGTATGTATCAATCTTGTGTACGTATTCCTGTCTGTATGTATCAGTCTTGTGTACGTATTCCTGTCTTGTGTACGTATCAGTCTTGTGTAATATTATTCCCGTCCTGTGTACGTATCTAACAATGTTATATCAATGAAAACTTGTATGACATTCATCTATCTATCTATCTATCTATCTATCTATCTATCTATCTGTTAATACCTTCTGAGCTTATCATCTCAATACCTTATGCATCTGAGTCAAGTTATCGTTCACGTCACGTTATCGTTCACATCACAGTTATCGTTCACGTCAAGTTATCGTTCACATCAAGTTATCGTACACGTCACAAGTTATCGTTCACATCACAGTTATCGTTCACAAGTTATCTTTACTACAAGTTATCGTTCACAGTTATCATTCACGTCACAAGTTATCGTTCACGTCATGTTATCGTTCACATCATGTTATCGTTCCGCTATTATCGTCACCGCTGTTATCGTTCACGTTACGTATATGCCACCAATGCCCTCGCGCCTCTTGTGTGATGAAAGAGAACGAAGATAAAGGTAAATTGCGTCAAGACAAAGTTGAACATCTGGGAATTTTGACTCTAAACAGGAGGCAGTCTCTCTGCAGGTCACGTATTGCTCTACTGGGTGGTTGGATGATTGGATGAGTGGGTGGTTGGGTGATTGATGGATGGGTGGGTGGGTGATGGGTGGGTGGGTGGGTGGCTGTCGGTGGGTGGGTGGGTGGATGATGGATGGGTGGATGGATGGTGCTTGCTATCATGTTAATCATTCAATATAATGTAACAGGTGTAGATAATTAAGCACAATTACACAGGTAAAGGTGGGAACTACCATGTTAATCACCCAATATAACACAACAGGTATTAACACCATGCACAGGTAAAGGTAGGAACTAACATGTTAATCACCCAATATAACACAACAGGTATTAACACCACGCACAGGTAAAGGTGGAACTAACATGTTAATCACCCAATATAACACAACAGGTATTAACACCATGCACAGGTAAAGGTGGAACTAACATGTTAATCACCAATATAACACAACAGGTATTAACACCATGCACAGGTAAAGGTAACTAACATGTTAATCACCCAATATAACACAACAGTATTAACACCACGCACAGGTAAAGGTGGGAACTACCATGTTAATCACCCAATATAACACAACAGGTATTAACACCATGCACAGGTAAAGGTGGAACCAACATAATCACCAATATAACACAACAGGTATTAACACCACGCACAGGTAAAGGTGGGAACTAACATGTTAATCACCCAATATAACACAACAGGTATTAACACCACGGGTAAAGGTGGAACTACCATGTTAATCACCCAATATAACACAACAGGTATTAACACCACGCACAGGTAAAGGTGGGAACTAACATGTTAATCACCCAATATAACACAACAGGTATTAACACCACGCACAGGTAAAGGTGGGAACTACCATGTTAATCACCAATATAACACAACAGGTATTAACACCGCACAGGTAAAAGGGAACTATGTTAATCACCCAATATAACACAACAGGTATTAACACCATGCACAGGTAAAGGTGGGAACTACCATGTTAATCACCCAATATAACACAACAGGTATTAACACCACGCACAGGGAACTACCATGTTAATCACCAATATAACACAACAGGTATTAACACCACGCACAGGTAAAGGTGGGAACTAACATGTTAATCACCCAATATAACACAACAGGTATTAACACAGGTAAAGGTGGGAACTACCATGTTAATCACCAATATAACACTAAACACATTAATTAGGTAGAATAAAACACACACAATTTAAACATAGACTTTTATTTATAAAGTGATAATCTCTGACGTCACACCATAGATAAATAATTAGTATGTACAATATGTGTGTGTGTGTGTGTGTGTGTGTGTGTGTGTGTGTGTGTACATGAGAGGTCACACTAGCTACCTGATATTATTATTGGTGACAACATTGTGACACACTAACGCCATGACCCGGTATTCTGACCTGAACGCTGGTTAAGTGAGTTAGTGGGTTAGGTTGGATTAGTTGAGGGTAGATAGGATTAGGTTAGGGTAGATAGGGTTAGGTTAGGTTAGTTTGAGGGTAGATAGGGTTAGGTTAGGTTGGTAGATAGGTTAGGTTAGGTTGGTTTGGTAGAATGGGGTTAGGTTAGGTTAGGTTGAGGGTAGATAGGGTTAGGTTAGGTTGAGGGTAGATAGGGTTAGGTTAGGTTGGGTTGAGTAGATGGTTGGTTAGGTTAGGTTGAGGGTAAATGGGTTAGGTTAGGTTAGGTTCGGGTATAGGGTTAGGTTAGGTTCGGTAGGGTTAGGTAGGTTGGAGATAGGTTAGGTTGGTTAGGTTGGGGGAAGTTGGTTAGGTTAGAGAGTTAGGTTGGGTAGATGGGTTAGGTTGGGTTGGGTAGATAGGGTTAGGTTAGGTTAGGTTGAGGGTAGATAGAGGTTGGAGTTGGAGTTGGGTTGAGGGTAGATAGGGTTAGGTTAGGTTGAGGGTAGATAGGGTTAGGTTAGGTTGAGGGTAGATAGGGTTAGGTTAGGTTGAGGGTAGATAGGGTTAGGTTAGGTTGAGGGTAGATAGGGTTAGGTTAGGTTGAGGGTAGATAAGGTTAGGTTAGGTTACGTTACGTTAGGTTAGATTAAGTGTAGGAGAGCTTAGTTTAGATTAGGTTAAGGAGAAGTGAGATTAGGCTAGGTTGGGTTAGGTTAGATTACGAGTCCAAGGATTAGCGAATCCCTTGATCATCTGTCCTGATATCTGCTACTATTGTCATGTACCGTCAGTGTCCGCTTAACGTTTACATGATGCGTTCCTGTACATTAACCGGACATAATATTATACGTTAACCGAACACTCACTGTATACAGGGTGGCCCATAAGTCTTAATCATTTATAATTAAAATACAAAAAAAAATCATACAAGATAAAAGTTTTGCAATAAATTTAGAAATATTTATATTTCAAAATACAACATACACTAATCCTGACTCACACTGTATTCCTCTCTTAGAAATTGATAACGTAAGTGTGAACTCCATCATACACAAACGAATCAGATTTATGAACCACCCTGTATTTTCCCCACTGGCTCCTAACCACAACATTTACGAGATAAAAAAATAATAATAAAATGGATAACTTACATAAATATACTAAGAATAAGATCAGAAATATATGAGAGACTTAGGGCATATACTTCAGATTATCACAGTGGTAATTTTATCATCAATTGAAGGGTTAGTGGACAAGATGTTTTAGTCGTCTCTGAGAGGTTAGATCTGACTGAGGTTAAATCTGAGACTCTGAGAGGTTAAATATGAAACTGACAGGTTAAATCTGACTGAGGTTAAATATGAAACTGAGAGGTTAAATATGAAACTGAGAGGTTAAATCTGAGACTCCGAGAAGTTAAATCTGATATCTGAGAGGTTAAATCTGAGACTCAGAGAGGTTAAATCTGAGACTGAAAGCTTAAATCTGACTGAGGTTAAATCAGAGGTTCCGAGAGGTAAAATCTGAGACTCCGAGAGGTTAAATCTGAGACTCCAAGAGGTAAAATCTGACACTCTGAGAGGTAAAAATCTGAGATTCTGAGAAGGGTAGACTCTGGACATACAACAAAGGTGACAATATTTACATCCTTGGACATAAACCCCCTGACCTGACATACACACATGAGGCTTCGAACTGCTGGAATGAGTCTCCGATTTGTTTGTTAGCCCATACTATTGAGTCTCGTTCGGGTTTGATACAGTTTCGAACAGGAGTGTAACAGAAACGTTTGTACTGTTGATGTGAGAGAAGCTTTGTTTTGATTGGTGGTTCCTTGACGCATTCCCGCCAATAAAAATCCAGGAAACTCTTAGTTCATAAATTTGATTTGATTCAGAAATACAAAGGATAATAATATGTTCATTAAAGTTGTCAGGAGTAAATCAAGAGTTAATATTATTATGTGTGTGTGTGTGTGTGTGTGTGTGTGAGTGTGTGTGTGTGTGTGTGTGTGTGTGTGTGTGTGTGTGTGTGTGTGTGTGTGTGTGTGTGTGTGTGTGTGTGTGTGTGTGTGTGTGTGTGTGTGTGTGTTTTCCAGGCGACCATCAGTACGTACACATTTTCTTACGTCCCCTGTAATTGTGTATGTATGTATGTATGTATGTATGTATGTATGTATGTATGTATGTATGTATGTATGTATGTATGTTTGACCTCGTAATCCAGGAGTAAATTATTCAGATCACTTGATGAAGGCTGCCAGCGGAGAAACATGACCTTATCTACCGTTGTTAAGTTGGATGGCTTGGTCAGGTAACAACTTGTAGCTTCGTATTGTATTTTTGTTCACCTTAAGAAAGAGGTTTAGGCACTGTAGTCTTCGACACTTACATGAGATAGAATTATATACTATACATTACATATTAATATCGACATCACTTAATAGAAAATCAAATCAATATATTTCTATATGTGAGCGAGAGTCCAGTTCACCGGGACCCGAAGCCACCCGGCGGGGCTTCAGCCAAAGGGAATACCCTGCCCTAAGTTCCCCACCTTAAGTTTTCCAAGCCTTTGGGCCCCGAGTCAGAAAACCTTATGAGTCTTGGGTTAATCCCTCAGTACGTGGAAAGGTATTTCTGCATTACTTGGTGCTCGAATATATGAAAGGCGAGTCATAACCTTGGTTCCGTAACCTACATGGCCTCCACTCCACCACTGAGGCCAGGGCAGGGGCTGGCATCATGACCTCACTCTTGAAAGAAACACAAAGAATCTCCTGACTGACCAATATTTCGGAGTTTCTTCACTATAATGACCCATACAAGGTCAACTTAGGTCAATAACACTGTGACCTTCACCACATGACGAGTGACCCTCTCTCCCGTGCCACATTACATCAATCCATAACTCTTCACTAATATATAACTGCTATATTTCCTTATAGTCACATACATAAGTCTCCTTCCTGGTCGGGTTGACAGAAGGCGTGAGGTGTGTCCAGATGGCTCGGCGGTGCCAACTGGGCCGATATATCACAGATGGTGCCCTCGAGGTTATACTCCTGGCCTGAGGAACACACAGACACCATTAACACCTATAACCAGTTAATATAACATCACTTACCCTGCTATACACAGTTAATATATCATCACTTACCCTGCTATACACAGTTAATGTAGCAACACTTACCCTGCTATACACAGTTAATATAACATCACTTACCCTGCTATACACCAGTTAATATAACATCACTTACCCCGCTATACACCAGTTAATATAACATCACTTACCCCGCTATACACCAGTTAATATAACATCACTTACCCCGCTATACACCAGTTAATATAACATCACTTACCCCGCTATACACCAGTTAATATATCATCACTTACCCCGCTATACACCAGTTAATATAACATCACTTACCCCGCTATACACCAGTTAATATAACATCACTTACCCCGCTATACACCAGTTAATATAACATCACTTACCCCGCTATACACCAGTTAATATATCATCACTTACCCTGCTATACACCAGTTAATATAACATCACTTACCCTGCTATACACCAGTTAATATAACATCACTTACCCTGCTATATTAGGTCCAGTGTGTGCAAAACATCTTTACTCTTTTTTCTGCTTCGTCGACCTATAGTGGGTAGGGCCTCCAGCCTAGTCGGTCTCCTCATGGACATTTCCGGAGAGATGGAGGAGAACCCGTTACCTGGAGGACAGAGGATCCCTTCATTGGGGGCCTGGGGGCATCTGGGGGTGGTCCCGTCATCTAGGGGAAAGGGGAGAGGAACCCTTTAGGGAATGCATGGGTAGGATATCTAGGGGTGGTATTCAGGGGTATCTGGGGGTGGTATTCAGGGGTATCTGGGAAGTATTCAGGGGTATCTGGGGAAGTATTCAGGGGTATCTGGGGAAGTATTCAGGGGTATCTGGAGAAGTATTCAGGGGTATCTGGGGAAATATTCAGGGGTATCTGGGGAAGTATTCAGGGGTATCTGGGGAAGTATTCAGGGGTATCTGGGGAAGTATTCAGGGGTATCTGGGGTGATCTCGTTATCTAGAGGCTTCACCTGTGTGTGTGTGTGTGTGTGTGTGTGTGTGATAAGGGAAAAGGTCATCATTTATCTGTACATGGGATGGAGTTTAAAAGTGTAGACCAAACTACGATGTTTTTTACTGTGTGATATTAAATTTATCGAGGTTTTAATTTATGCACGAAAAAAACGGGTCGTTTATACGGGTTGAATGGCTCGCAGGTCAAACGAGCCCCAGTCCTGATAGGCAATGGTTTTAATAGGCACCAGTCCTATTAGGGTAGGGTATGTTAGGTTGGGGGTTATTAATTCCGTGGTTTATCAGGTCAGTGGCTTATCAGGTCAGTGGTTTATCAGGTCAGTGGTTTATCAGGTCAGTGGTTTATCAGGTCAGTGGTTTATCAGGTCAGTGGTTTATTTGACTAGCCAAGCCATGGTTAAATGTCAAAGGGTATTCTCTCTCCGATGCCGCTATTTAACCGACAGATTGGAATGATTGGACTACAGCAGACCAACGAGATGGATTAGGTTAAGGTAGGTCAGTTTAAGTCAGGTTAGTTTAAGTGAGGTTAGTTTTTGGTTGGGTTGGGTTACAATTGGTTAAATTAAATTAAATTTGGTTAGATTATGTGTTATTTATTTGGTATTAAATTAGATTAGGTTAAGTTAAATTGGGTTAGGTTATGTTCTTGGGTTGGATTACGTTAGGTGAACAACAGTTATTTGACAAAACTCACTAAAGATTCGACCAATCATCCAGACATCATCCAATAACTCCTAATCTTGTATCCACATGAGGCACTTCAGTACAGGGTGTCTCAAAAACAGTATACACAATCATTTACAGAGTTCCGTGGTAATGGCATGGTATTATATCAACATTGTCCTCTCCTGTTCGAGGTCTCCCATACAAGTGATGACAATGTTTCTGATGTAATACGAACATTCACCTGATCTCCACGTAAATCAGTAAACCATTATGTTCTTCACCTAATGAACAGGTATACACATTAGTACACACCTGTAATTATAATACCTTTAGATCCTTTACCCTATATTACGTACTTTAATTATTGGTTAACGTTTATATATAAAAAAATGGTGTTCTTAATGCATTTTGTTGTTGTTTATATATAAGAGGTTAAGTTAAAGTTAAATATTAGCTTTATGGGAGAAAAAATTACTGTGAGAAAGTGGTCAAAGGTAAGAGTCATTAAGGACGAAGTTTGTGCGTTGAGAAAGTTGTTAAAGATAGAAAGTAATAAATGAACTACACACACACACACACACACACACACACACACACACACACACAATAAATATGAATGTTCGTAAATAAATAGTCATTGAGTAAACCAACTTAATCTGTCCTTCCAGATAGTTTAATTGAGTCTTTAAGGACGATAGTTTAATTGAGACTTTAAGGACGATAGTTTAATTGAGTCTTTAAGGACGATAGTTTAATTGAGTCTTTAAGGACGATAGTTTAATTGAGTCTTTAAGGACGATAGTTTAATTGAGTCTTTAAGGACGATAGTTTGATTGAGTCTTTAAGGACGATAGTTTAATTGAGCCTTTGAGGACGATAGTTTAATTGAGCCTTTGAGGACGATAGTTTAATTGAGCCTTTGAGGACGATAGTTTAATTGAGCCTTTGAGGACGATAGTTTAATTGAGCCTTTAAGGACGATAGTTTAATTGAGTCTTTAAGGACGACAGTTTAATGGAGCCTTTGAGGACGATAGTTTAATGGAGCCTTTGAGGACGATAGTTTAATTGAGTCTTTAGGGACGATAGTTTAATTGAGTCTTTAAGGACGATAGTTTAATTGAGTATTTAAGGACGTTAGTTTAATTAACCCTTTAAGGACGATAGGTCAATTGAGCTCCTTCCATTGTTATTGTATAGAACAACCGTCAACCAGACCATCCTTTTATAAACACACTACAACGCGTTAGGTTAGGTTAGGTTAGGTATAGGTCATGTTAGGTTAGGTTATATTAGAGGTAGGTAAGGTTAGATTAGGTTAGGAATAGGACATGTTAGGTTATATTAGAGGTAGGTTAGGTTAGATTAGGTTAGGAATAGGACATGTTAGGTTATATTAGCGGTAGGTTAGGTTAGATTAGGTTAGGAATAGGTCATGTTAGGTTAGGTTAGAGGTAGGATAATTTAGGGATGGATTAAATAGATGTTACAGTAGATTAGCCTAGATTAGAGTTGTGATCCAAGGATTAATGACTCCCTTGTGCTGTACATGTTGCCAGGAAGTGAGTTAGCGTGGTGAGGTGAGGGAGAAGTGAGGGAGAAGTGAGGGAGAAGTGAGGGAGAAGCTCTACAACAAGTGACGGTGCTTCACCTACCTAACCAACCGTTACTTATGACTCCTCCTGATCCTCCTCCTCCTCCTCCTCCTCCTCCTCCTCCTCCTCCTCCTCCTCCTCCGCCTCCACCACCTCCTCCTCCTCCACTCGAGGAGGAGGAGGAGTTCGAGCCCCAAGAAGAGTTGTAGGAGCTAGATCCTTGGGAGTTGTTGTAGGAGGAGTTGAGATTGAGAGTGTTGCCCCACATGCTCTGACTCATGCTCATGTTGAGAGCATTGTTGCTGGTGCTGTTCTTCTTAGTGGTGGCCTTACCTGGGGAGGGAGGGGTGAGGAGGATGGCGTTTAGGCTCACTTGGTCTATGTATAAGAGGGAGGGTAATGTCTGTCTCTATGTCTGTCTGTATCTCTGTCTGTATCTCTGTTCATCTTGTCTGTCTGTCTGTCTCTTTGTTTATCTGTGTGTTTATCTTGTTTCTCTGTCTCTTTGTTTATCTGTCTGTCTATCTCTCTGTTCATCTTGTCTGTCTCTTTGTTAATCTGTGTGTCTCGTCTCTCTGTTTCTCTGTCTCTTCATCTGTCTGTGTGTCTTATCTCTGTCTCTGTTCATCTGTCTGTCTGTCTTGTCTCTGTCTCTCTGTTTATCTGTGTCTCTTGTCTCGCTGTCTCTCTGCGTCTTTCTGCCTGTTTATCTGCCCGTCTTCTTGTCTGTCTCCCTGTCTCTCTGTCTCTTTGCCTCTGTCACTGCTAATACGTCGAAATGTCTGTCTGATTGTTTTTCTGCTGATTCATCTCTATATCTGTCTGTCAACCTCTACCTGTCTGTCTCTACCTGTCTACCCGTCTACCCGTCTATCCATCATCACCTACTCACACTTAACACATTGGAGCTACTTAAACTACCGTACCATCATTACAATCCAACCATAACAACCAATCTAAACTACTACCATTATCCTTATCCAGTCTTAATTACCCTATTCAGATTCTCCCTAACAAGCTATGACAAATCCTACTCTTATCTTCATATGGGTTACAGTAAGTGCAGTGCAAAATATATAATATAGGTATAAAAAAAACATTGCTATAAGTTGTATATATGTATAGAAAAGAAAATCTAACATTGATATATATATACAGTGATTCTAATCTCTCTCTCTCTCTCTCTCTCTCTCTCTCTCTCTCTCTCTCTCTCTCTCTCTCTCTCTCTCTCTCTCTCTCTCTCTCTCTCATCTCCTCGTTCCTCTCACTTCCTATTCTTTCTTTCATTTTCTTCCCCCTCACTTCCTTCTCTGTACCCCCCTTCCCCTCACCCTCTTCCTCTTCCTCTTATTGTCTTCCTCTCACTCCCTCCCCCCATTCCCTTCCCCTCACCCCCTCTCCCCCTCTCCCCCTCACCCCTCTCCCCTCACCCCCTAACCCCCTCACCCCCTCAGCTAGGACACGCCAAACACCAAAGTCGTGCGTTAGTGATAAAGGTCGAATAGGCCCCATACATCCTACTAGGCCCCATACATCCTACTGGGCCCCATACATCCTACTGGGCCCCACCTAACCTGACCATTAAGGTTGAAATCCCTCATCAAATGAACCCAATTTTTAAAGTTTAGATAGGGCAGGTTAGGTTAGGTTAGGTTGGGTTAGGTTGGGTTAGGTTAGGTTGGGTTAGGTTGGGTTAGGTTAGGTTAGGTTAGGTTAGGTTAGGTTAGGTTAGGTTGGGTTAGGTTGGGTTAGGTTAGGTTAGGTTAGGACAGGTCAGGTTAGGTTAGGTTAGACTAGATTAAGTTAGGTTTGGATAGGTTAGGTTAGGTTAGATTTGGGTAGGTTAGGTCGGGTCAGATTAGGTTAGGTCAGGGTAGGTTTAAATAAATCAGGTCAGGTTAGGTTAGATTAGGTTAGGTCAGAGTAGGTTTAAATAAATCAGGTCAGGTTAGGTTATGAGATTAGGCCCAGTAGCCACAGAACCTATAAAACAGACAGAGAGACAGACAGACAAACAGGAACCCCGTCTTCTTCCCAATCAACAGGTGAGAACAAAGACACAAGACTCCACTAAGTTACCGTCATCCTGAACCTCACTAGAGCTCGTTGGCTCGTTTCTTGGGCTGAAGTAGTTACCAGCGATGTCTTCCTCCTCGCTCTTCTGGAGTTTCTGCTGAAGGCGTCGAATGGGAATTGTTAGGAATGGGAATGGGAATTGTTAGGAATATGAATGGGAATTGTTAGGAATATCAATGTGAATTGTTAGGAATATGAATGGGAATTGTTAGGAATATGAATGGAATTGTTAGAATTGTGAATGGGAATTGTTAGGAATACGAATGGGAATTGTTAGGAATGGGAATGGGAATTGTTAGGAATATCAATGTGAATTGTTAGGAATATCAATGTGAATTGTTAGAATATGAATCGGAATTGTTAGGAATACGAATGTGAATTGTTAGGAATGGAATGGGAATTGTTAGGAATATGAATGTGAATTGTTAGGAATGGAATGGAATTGTTAGGAATACGAATGTGGAATTGTTAGGAATGTGAATGGGAATTGTTAGAATACGAATGGGAATTGTTAGGAATACGAATGGGAATTGTTAGGAATACGAATTGGAATTGTTAGGAATACGAATGGGAATTGTTAGGAATCAGAGGAGCTGTTTATGGCACATCACACACTTGGTTATGATGTTACCTTTTGACGTGACAGATTAGGAATGTATACTTTCATGGTGGATAAGGAATGTATACTTTCATGGTGGATTAGGAATGTATACTTTCATGGTGGATTATTAGGAATATGATATAACCATTACAGTTTACTATAAAAGACCAGGAAATGATTTAACTACGGCTAATTAGGTGATTAGGATATAATTGCCTCTAGGTAATTAAGAATGGATTTTTAAATAGGAGATAAGATATTGCTCTATAATAGGAATACTTGGAATATATATAATACACTATAGGTTAATGTAGTTTATTTCTATAACTTACTATACGAGAGATTATAGAAGTTAATGTAATATAGTTTAGATTATAGATTTATTTCTCAGGTATAAATTATATATATAGGAGTATTTACGTGTTAGGTTAGGTTTGGTTAGGTTAGGTTGGGATAGGCTAGGTTAGGTTAGGTTAGGTTAGGTTAGGTTAGGTTGGGATAGGTTGTCTGTTTATACGAAGTTAACGAGTCATTTAGGTCATTTGGTGGACGTCATAAGGGTCATTAATACTGTCTACGTCATTAAGCTGGACCGTAATTGTGTAAACGAGATGATTAGGTAGTTAGGTTATGACTTGGGCCCCATTTGTGTTTTGTTTGGGTGATACTCTTGTTCCTTCTTCTTCTTCTTCTTCTTTTCTTCTCTCTTCTTCTTCTTCTTCTTCTTCTTTCTTCTCCTTCTTCTTATTCTTCTCCTTCTTCTGCTTTGTTTTCCTTCTTCTTCTTCTCTTCTTTCTCTTCTTTTTTTCCTTCTTCTTCTTCTTGTCTCTTCTTCTTTCTTCTTCTTCTTCTTCTTCTTCTTCTTCTTCTTCTTCTTCTTCTTATTCTTCTCCTTCTTCTTATTCTTCCCTCCTTTCTTCTGCTTCTTCTTCTTCTTCTTCTTCTTCTTCTTCTTTCTTCTTCTTCTTCTTCTTCTTCCATCTCCTCCTCCTCCTAAGCTTGTGACTTTATCAGTGAGGGTTGAGCACACTTCCTTTTTCCTCCTCCTTTTCTACTCTCCTTTCCTTCCTTCTCCCCTCCCCTGTACACCTTCTCCTTCTCCTCCTCTTCTTTTTATACCTTCCTCTTTCCTTATTTTCTTCTTTTCCCTCTCTTATTCTTCGTCCTCCTCTTTCCCAACTTACTCCTTCCCTATTTCTCTATACCTCCTCTCCCTCCCTCTCTCCCTCTTTTCTTCTTCCCCCTCTTTCTCCAACCCCTTCCTCTTCCTCTCCCCCTTCTTCCTTTCCTCCTCCTCTTCCTCCTCCTCTTCTCCTCCTCCTCCTCCTCCCCTCCTCTTCTTCTCCTCCTCCTCCTCCTCCCTCCTCTTCTTCTCCCCTCCTCCTCCTCCCTCCTCCCTCCTCTCTTCTCCCCTCTTTCTCCATCCTTCCTCCTCCTCTTTCTCCCCTTCTTCCTTTCCTTCCTCCTCCTCTTCTTTCCTCCTCCTCTTCCTCCTCCTCTTTCTTCCCTCCTCTCTTCCCTCCCTCCCTCCTCCTCCTCCTCCTCCTCCCTCCTCTTCTTCTCCTCCTCCTCCCTCCTACTAGCCAATAAAATAGTCTCGAGTCTTCATTAGGGTAATAGGCTTTTCACCCTCTTCAAGACCTTCAGTTCACGTTAAGGTCACTTGATAGCCACACCAGTCTCGTCTAATTACTGCTTAATCCTCTTCTGTCTGTCTGTCTGTCTGTCTGTCTGTCTGTTCGCTGTTTTAAGGGGTGTCTGTCTGTCTGTCTCTCTCTTTCTCTCTCTCTCTCTCTCTTTCATCAGTAGGAGGAGCAAAAACTAACAAAAATGTCCAGCAAAATAAAAAAAATCTTCCTATATATATAATTCCTTCTAATTAATCTATTCGTCACTAAAACATTTAATTATAGAGAATTATAGATGTGTTATATTCCATTATAAATATAGATATATATATATTTCATTTGTATTACCTATAACAATTTAAAGGTGATGTTTCTTCATAATTAATATCATTTAATAGTAAAGTAGAATTTATATACATACACATTTTATGATTTATATATCAAGTGGTATTTTATCTCACCATATACACAGAAGTTTTAAAGGCTAAGTTTATATAGATGTATATTATATAGTTAACTCATAATAAAGGAAATTCTATAACACTTATAACTGACTATATACATGATCATAGGACATTAATTATAACAGTTAAGTTAATGGAGAATTATATGACAGTCATGTAAGCAAGATTATATGAGATTTATAAGATGGATAAGTGATGAACAGGTAAATTAAAATCATGCACAGAGAAGCACAGGTGAACACAGAAATGTGATTAATATTGGGAAGATTATAGATTAGACTTACCTGTGTGGTGTACAGGTATGTGGTGTGATAAACAGGTGTGTGGTGTGATATGCAGG